CTCTTTGAGAACCCGGTCTTTATCTTCCCATGAAACAAATGCATTTCTTGTTCTGTTGGGTTGCAAACAAATCTATATGGCAAGAAACCCACTGACTGAAAATGAGAAAAATGTCTGAGTAGATGGTCTGCCAGTGTGTTGTTTATATTTGGAAGGTGAACTACAGTTAGTGTTATGGTGTGCTGGATACACCGATTCCATGCTTTCCTGCACAAGATCGTTGGCCTAGGAGTTCTAAATTGGCCACCTCAAAATGTAACTTTATGCAATGTGACACCCAATTAGAGATTCTCTGAGTCCAGACTGCTTGACCCTTGGATCTTGGCAAGTGAAATAAATAGCCTAAGGCACTGCCTGGATGGTTTTGCTCGAGATAAGTAAATCACCGAGATTGGAGAACATTTAGAGTACGTAAGGCAGCCTCACCCTCGGCTGAATGAGGCTTTGGGGAAAAGAAGGTGAGTGGACTGATTTAAATTAAAATCAGAGATTACTTTACCTATACTATATAGTTGCTGCGATGGGCTCCCCACCCCAATAATGAAGCATTGGTCACTGCTGACTTTGGGAAATGCTGGGAAGAACAGAACTCCCTTGCAGACCTGATGTGGATCTTTTCACCAGTTGAGGGAGTTCAAAACTTCTTGAGGTATGTGTATCTGCATGTCTGTCTTGAGAACAGCAGGGTGATAGACCATCCTTAAGCACCCCTGAAGACAACGAAGATCCAGTCTGTTGAACAGGTCACCAGAGTACATGAACTGTGTGACCTAAAACCAGAGACATATCCTTGCTATAGTACATAGATTGTTTTGCAGTTGATTGATCAACTTTAATATATTGTCAAATCTGGTCTGCAGCAGCTATCTTGAGCCATCATGGAATTGAGTAGAGCCCCAGTATGTGCTATCTTTTTTTGTTGGGTTTAAATGATTTTTTTCATGTTTCACTCATACCCAGACTGGAGAACAGATGTATGAGGTACTGGACACTGCTTAGCACCTGCTCTGGAGACTGTCCTCTTATCAACCAATTGTCAAGATATGGGTAAACCCAAACACATTTCTTTCTGAGATGTGCCAGTACCCCAGCCAGACATTTTGTGAAAGTCCTTGAAGCCATCAACAATCCAAAAGGCAGCACCCTGTACTGGTAATGTGCATTGCCCACTACAGAAGGCAAATATTTTTCTGCTGGATGGATGGAAATATGCATTTTGTAGATTGAGAGTTGCAAACTAGTCTAGAGGATCTAGGGAAGGAAGCATGGAGAACAGGGTTACTATTTGAAATCTGAACTGGCTAACTGAAATTTGAACTCTCAGGTCCAATACTGGTCCAACCAGCCTCCCAATTTTTTGGGGACTAGAATATATCGGGAACAGATCTCCTTCTCTGATATTGGGGAGGGAACCTCCTGCATAGCACCAAGAGCCAACAGACACTCAACATCTTATGTGAAGGTGTCTTATGAAAAGGGTCCCTGAAACGGAAGGTGGGAATGTCTTGGAATTGAACAGAATAACCTTTCTGAATTAGTTCCAATACTTATCTGCTGCTGGTGACACTACTCCATCGCTTCCTGGAAATAATATAAATAGTCCCGAAAAAGGGTAAGGTAGGAAAAAAGACCCTCCAAGATTGGTTAACAGTTCTCTGTATACACATCAAACAACTTTTTAAAGCCTGTCTTAGCAGCAGTTGAAGTTGATGTCCATGAAGGTCCTCCATGAATACATTGTTTCTTCTTTAAAAAATCCATTGTTCTCTGATAAGGATGATTAAAAGGAGTAGTGACAGGCTGTTTCATTTGAGTATGCTTCTTTTTGTATTTTGCAGTATTATTGTAGCTATGTTGTTCCCAGGATATGAGAGAGACAAGGTGGGTCAGATATCTTTTATTGGACCAACTTCCAAACCTTCTCTCTTCCATCAACAACAGTTGGTCCAATAAAAGATATCTCACCCATCTTGTCTCTCTTTTTACATTGGAAGTGTAGATGCCTAATGACAGTAATGTAGTACGAGTGCCTTTCAGTGTAGGTAATGACTCAGTTTTAGAACTGAACTAGATGATTCCCTCCAAAGGGAAGGTCTTCCAACATAGTTTGAACCTCCAGAAGACCAGAACCATCACGCACGTTGCATAGTACTTGTTGCCTCCAATCAGTTTCATTGCAGTTTCAGCAGCATAATGGACTTATAGGAAGGTTTTAGCTATTAACTCACCATTCGTAGATGAACTTTTGTCAGACTTTAGAGGAATTTAAATATTTATCTAGATACTCAGTAACTTTGTCCCACATAAGGTAATCATAGCAAACTATCAGGCCCTTTTATCAAGTTATGCAGAGTTGAAGGCAAAAAGTCAAATCTTTTTTGGCTCCTTCTCCTCTGGAGTAGTACTAAAGGACTAATGTTTCAACTTCTCTTGTGTGCTGTTGTCGCTACTGAGGACCCTGGAGAAGGACGTGTGTAGAAATCTTAGAAGCCTGTTGAAAGGACTTGATACCTGTTTTCACCTCTTAGCAGTGGGTGGTCTAGATGCTGGAGTCTACCATAAGAGTGGGGTTGGCTCTAACAAGCCTTCATTTATAGATAGGGCAACCTCTCTGGTAGAAATGGATGCAAAATGTCCAGTAACTTATGTCCTTTTTCTTGAGCAGTCTGAACAGGGATCTCCAAAGCTTCTGCCATTCAGTGGACCAAGTCTCAAAATGACTTATTATCTAATGACGATAACTGAGGAGGAGCCATAGCCTCATTCTGTGAAGAAGAGGCTGGAATATGCTCTGAAATAGTTTCAGAAACTTGCCACTGAAGTATATGTTCACCCAGAGACAGATGTGGAGAAGAGTCTGGTTCAACAATATGTATACATTGCTGTGAATACTTTTTCATAATAGGTGCATCCTGGGCTGAAGATGATCTAACCCTGGAAACCAAAGCTGAGGAATGTTTTGATTTAGGATGTGGTCATAGGGCCCCGGAGGCCAAGCAGTTTGTCTATATGTATAAAATTAATGAGGCCAGGCCCAGTGGTACCAATTAGGGGCTTTTGAACTAACATGCCTATATTTACTCCCTATGTCTGACTTACTTCCAAATATATACAGGTTATAAAAAATACCCCCAACGGGTAAGCAGGTGAAACATTCCAATTATCAGAAGAGGATGAAGAATGATACTCGTGCTCCTCTTCGAGGGGGAGGGGGAAGACTGCTTGTGAGCGGGTATGAGAATTACCCACTGAAAGGGGCTTACCACACAAGCCCTAAGGTAACTTATGCAACATCCCTTGATTGACAAATAAGTGATGTTTTGCATATCATGCTGAGGGTGGCCAATGCATCATGGTTATTTTAATTTAAAAACTGGTTCTGTTACCTTCCCCCACCCCAACAACGAAGTTACTTAGTGTCTAATCACTGGTATTTACAGGTCAAGCAAATGGGGACAGTATTCCCTCTTAATATAAACAAGCCCTACATAAACTTGTATTGGAGAAAGTGATATTCCTTTAGTTACAACTGGTGCAGACCGCCTAGTGCAGATAGGCTGCACTGGCACAAAGTGGAGCGTGTACCCTTATCCTAGAGGACGCCTGGACTTTGAGTCTCTGATGGCGAATGGGATATGTGGTAGCTGCCCTGCACTATTCTCTGAGGAAAAATAAAATTAGGCTTGGACAGCCGAGAGAAGGGGCCATATCTTCAAACCATACGCTCTCTGGTGCATTCCATTTCACTGCAGAGGTCATTGATCCATACACAAGATGAAAATAATCTGCAGTGACACGTTTAACCATTTAAATTGTAACTCAAATTTAAAGCTGACAACCCACTGAGATTAACAGATCAGTTCCTACCCTCTCAAACCTATTGTTTCACGCTGTCTACACCTTCAGGCAGACAGCACTGCATTTACACTGTGCTCCCATATTTTAAGGGTATATGCACATTCATGAATGCTAGAAACAAGTTTTGCTTTAACTAGCTCACCTGTTCACGTGCTATGGGTGAAGCCAGAGTAGACCTACACCTTATCCAGTGCAGATTCGGTCCACTTCCACCAATAATCTCCTTGCCCCAACACCATCTCCCAATTAGTCCCCACCCACCTGTGTCTACAATGCAAATTCCTCAGTGCAAAAGACAACCCTACTGTATTTTCACTATACAAAACTCAAAACAAGTGCGCACACTTCTGTGTATATTTATATGCATAGCAGAAGAGGCCATTTTCTTGCTTTAAATTTACTGGATTTGCAGGGACATTAATTTCTCACTTACCTCAACATTGTGAATAGCTAAAACACACAAAGGGTTTTAAGCATTATGTCTTGAAACAAGCACAAAACCGGGGGTGGGGATGGGCGGGGAAAGGAGAGACCAACCTAGCATTCAATGTGAATTTCAGGTTAGCAAACTTTATAGTAATACCAATTCTAGAAAAAACACATTAAGTTGTACAACAGGAGTTCTTTGTTGCTATCACTGAGATTTAATCTGAGTTGAGAAACAGTTGATTTATGTAAAACAGATTTTCATAAAATAAAGCATGTGCTCACAATATTATTTAATTTTATAGACTATTTTTTGCAAATTAAGCATTAGGAAAATATTCCTTAATGAAGAATACTGAAATTAAAGTACAGTAATAACGGGCATTCTTGATGAGAACAGTAGGTATTCCTCATAATGTATTATTATTAAACAAATATTCCTAATTTTTTTTCAGTGCTTATAACCTTAAGAGTTCTAACCATGAGTACAAACTTATGTTTAACACTGATGTTGCTACGAGAGTACTCGTAGCTAATAATGACAGAATTTTTCAGACGCTGAACACATAATTGGTGAGGAAAGACTCGGCCATTTCTCAAACCGTTTCAGTTTTTGTACGAATAGTGAAGTGCGTTGAATAAATTTGTTATCACAGAAGAGTCAGTCTAAAGCAAAGGCACTGACACTAAAACAAACCAGATCCATAGCAGGAGTCTGATGTCGACATGTTTATTGAATTCCTATATCAGAAAGGTGCAACCCATTGTGGAGAACGGGAATGGTGGATCTGAGTACACACCAACTTCTGCATACAAAATGATTACCATGCATTAGTTTACTCCCCTGTAAGTAGTCCCAATGAAGTTAATGATACTACACATGACTGTCTGCAGAATGGGGCTCACAGTATTTCTGTTAGGTGAAGCAGCCTACACGTCATAGAAGTGGTCTGTTTTAGAGTCATTAGCTCTTTTCATTTTGTTTCAAACATGTTATATAATACAGATAGATACAAGGAGCTTAGCTCTGCATCTGCTAACCTCTGTGTAATATGTCTTACAAATTTTGTAACTGTCTAAGGTGGAATGTTTAATATGCCAATCTCTTTTTAAAAATGAAGATGCAGCTTCTTAATTTTAACAAGGTACCACAAACTGATCTTAATCACTTTTCAGAAATTTCACTGATGTTTTTTTGCCTTTTTTAGTACTCTGTTGCCCAGTGGATCTGCTTTTCTTCTGTCACAATTATTTTTTTCACTTTTTAAAAGAACTCTAGTTAGCCCTGTATTGCTCTAAGTATCAAACAGAACTGTTAACTAAGTTTGAACCACAGGGAAAATTCTGCCCTCAGCTGCACAGATGTAACTGAAAGCCAAATTCAGCCTACCAAACCAGTTTTATACTGATGATACATAAGAAGAAAACAACCCAGCTTGTCTTTAGGATATTAAGTAGAGTTTGAAGAGCTAAAATTAGAAAAGACATCACTTCCCTTGTCAAGTGAGCAAATTGTTCTGGTAGTCACTGAGTCAAATAAGGAATCCCTAGATGTCATTTTTCAGAATGGACCTGAACTTTAAAACCACATGCCAAAAATAAATGATAAAAGTAAACTATGGTCATGAACAACCTTGCAAGTTTTTCTATAGCATGTATAAACAAGAGAACATCCATGTTTTTGAATATAAGCTGAGGAATGAAGAACTGCTTCTTGTTATTTTAATAAAAATACAGTGCTTACTTACACTTCTAAACATTGAAACAAAAGTATACATACATGGAGCAAATCTTTTTTTCTAGGTAATTGTGTAAAGGCTTTCAAAAGTAGTTTGTCACTTTACATCATTATTGAAACATGTATCCTTTTCAAAGGAATAAATGTCACAAAACAAATACACATTAGAAGAACACAATTAAATGGCCTGGGCAATGAACAATCTATAGTCAGCTACTATGAAGGAACATGGGCCTTGGGTTCAAATCTCCAGCAAGTATTCCCCTTCTCCACAAAAAGCATATTTATATATTAACGGCATATACAATATGGAAAATCTAAAAGCATATTTTTGTTCTTAATATGCACCCTCTTTAAAGGACTCTGCTAACTCTTGATTGGCAGCATCATATTCAGCAATGAAATGTTTAAGTTCTTCAATGCATCGCTCACCTATCTCATGCAAATTTTGTCTCAGGGCAAACTGAATGGACTTTTCTAATGAAGGATCTTTATCAATCAGCATCTTCACTACCATGCCAAAGGTTTCACAGTCTTGTCTGTAAACCTAGAAGCAATACATTTGAGAAACTGATTAAATGCAAGGATATTTACATAAGCAGCATCATTTCCCCCACCCCAAATAAGGTTAAAGTAACATTACACCACCAAAACCAATTGATGAACAATGAATGATAGATTCAACACAAATCTTATTTGTTAAGCCTGCTATAAATGTTTACTCCCCTGCAGGCCTGCTGTAATGTAACAAGGGCAAAGGTAGCTAGTTCAGTACTAACTACTTTGACACAAAACATAATTCTTAATGAAGGAAATTTCTGAAAAATAGAACTTGGGGAGGAAAAGAATTTCTCTTGTAATGCACCCACCTTGAATAAAATATCTGAGTAAAGAGAGATGAGCAGACACTAAATGCATTTAACACTTTTGCTTGTAATAAAATCTGGGTTTTACCTCATCATCTGTGCCCATCTCATTAATTTTTATTTAAAGGTAATGATTAGTTAGTTGATCTTCTGATAACACTTTGAAGATGACACATACTAAATACTTCAGAAAATATATTTTTATTATGTTTTTTGGAGATTTCAAATCACCCATAATGGCAAAGCCAGATCAATTTCCTGTACAGAGCTTCAAAACAGCTCTATAGGTTTGATGCTATTGGCAGCTCTACCCCAGTACAATGTAACTTCATAAGGGAGAGCTCAGTTTAGAATTGACATCAGCCAGAGGTTGCACCTCAGAGGATGCAAAGTAACTGAACCCAAGTGGGAGTGGGGGAAGGGTAAGAAAGAAGAAAACGCTACATTAACTGCTGCAAAGAGGTTGAAGTGGAAATATGCAGGACTTCTACATGCAGGAAAAGGGAAACTGTCTGACCACCTGGTATAACTTCTTTGATATGTTAATCCCCTTTCTGTTCCCATTCTTTTCACTTGTACTTGCAGCCCCATCTGCTGATTTTTTAATTTACATTTGAAATTTAAATGCCCCATTATGTATTATTTGCACCTTAGTACCTAGAAGCCCTAGTCATGGACTAGGGCCCCACTGTGCCAGGCACTTTACAAATATGAAAGAAAAAGATGATCCCTGCACCAAAGCGCTTACAATCTAAGAGCTAAGAACAGGCACTACTATAAGTCAAAATAAATAATTAAACTGCACAATAGTGTCTTTGAGACAGACATTATACCCATGTTACAGATGGATAAGTTAAGGCAAGGATGTAAATGCTCAAGGTCCTGCAAGTCAAAGTGTAGCCATGTCTATATTATGGTGCCATAGCTAGGTGCTGTAACCCTGTAGTGTAGGTGCAGATGACAGCAACAAAAGGGTTTCTTTCCACCTCCCTGAGCAATAGGAACTAGGTCAACAGAAGCATTCTTCCACTGACCTAGCTGTGCCTACACCATGGGTTAGGTCAATGTTCAGGGGTATGGATTTTTCACACCCCTGAGCACCGTAGCTATGTCGACCTAAATTTTAAGTGTAGACCGGACCTGTGTCTCAACACTATTTTAACCACTGGATCACACTGTCTCCATTGGCTGGCAGATGTATTGGGTTTTCCCAAGAAAAGAAACTAAGCATAGCATGTGGAAATGCCTAGACAACTACTCTGTTTTCCCAGTGCACGTAGTATGATAAGGTGGTGCCCCCATCCAGCACCTCACATAAGGGCATTGTGAGACTTATTTTGATTTACAATACAGTGCCTACGTAGCCTGTGACGACTTCCTACAAATCTCAATTTTGATCACTTTTTCAAATATTACATACTTTCAACATAAAACTTGCCAGTCACAGTATAGCAACAAGAACTTTTTTTTTATGAAAAGCCCACTGGATATAATGTACTTACAAAAAGTTATTTATCTGCCTGAATTTGGTCCAGTAAAAAATATACTGCTACACTTGCCTTACTTTCTTGTACCATGAAGAGGTCTATTTATTCTGTTTAGATGATTGTCTAATCTATTCTGTTAGTTTGGTACAGGTTATGATTCATAGTGTCAAAGATGCAGAACATTTTATGATTTTGCTAGCAAAAGCATGCCTATTCAGTGCTTCACAGAAATGTTACAGCAATCCCACAAAGTTTAGGGGCATTTCAATTCCTTCACTCAAGGGAGTAGTCACCTAACTCTCTTAAATTCTTTTCCCACCCAAGGATATTGTTATGAGCTGAGTGAAACCTTGTTATGGATTGAGTTAAAACCCCATTGAGATTAACAGGTGTGAACTGACCTTTCAATTAAAATAACAAAGCATAAGACCCCACCTCGGTCTGTTTGTGTAGAATCATAGAATATTAGGGTTGGAAGAGACCTCAGGAGGTCATCCAGTCCAATCCCCTGCTCAAAGCAGGGCCAACACCAACTAAATCATCCCAGCCAAAGCTTTGTCAAGCCGGGCCTTAAAAACCTCTAGGGATGGAGATTCCACCACCTCCCTAGGTAACCCATTCCAGTGCTTCACCACTCTCCTAGTGAAATAGTGTTTCCTAATATCCAACCTAGACCTCCCCCACTGCAACTTGAGATCATTGCTTGTCTTGCATAAGGAAGAAGAAAAGTTAAAAGATATAAACCAGGGTGTAACTTTGGGATATTAAGAGAAATTGCTATAAAAAAGATATGTGTTCCTGTCTAGGAACTTTTTAATGAGCATTGTTCTGGGTAGGGATGTATGTGAGGGAAGAAAGAGATCACAGAGAAACTGAGAACAGACAAAAACAGAGAGAAAAGAAGAAGCAAGAAAGCCAAACAGGAGCCTGTAAGCAGAGTGTAACCCGGATAAAAGCTCGACAGAGCACTTTTGGGTCTAGTGTTGGCTAAAGAGTCTTGGAGGCTGTACACTAAGAAACTACTCCTTTTGTTCTTTGTGTCTTCTGTGTTCAGAGACACAGGACTTTGTAGATTCCTTGTAAAGAAACAAGTGTGCATCAAAGAAAATACCAGACTCCATCAGTTTCTACTTCTAGCTAGATCAGGGGTGGCCAACCTGAGCATGAGAAGGAGCCAGAATTTACCAATGTACATTGCTAAAGAGCCACAGTAACACATCAGTAGCCCCCCATCAGCCCTCCCCCCTTCCCAGTGCCTCCCACCCACCGGCAGCCCTGCTGATCAGCGCCTCCCCTTCCCACACCTCCCAATCAGCTGTTTTATGGTGTGCAGGAGGCTCGACGGGGGGGGGGGGAGGGGAGGAATGAGGGCATGGCAGGCTCAGGGGAGGGCATGGGAAGGAGTGGAGTGGGGGCAGGGACTGTGGCAAAGCCAGAGGTTGAGTAGTGAGCACCCCCTGGCACATTGGAAAGTTGGCACCTGTAGCTCCAGCTCTGGAGTCGGTGCCTATACAAGGAGCCGCATATTAACTTCTGAAGAGCCGCAAGTGGCTCCGGAGCCACAGGTTGGCCACCCCTGAACTAGATCATCCTCAAGGTTGCAAACTTTGCCTAGATGCTCAGGTTGAAAAGGGGCAACGATATTCATCTCATGCACCCTACCCAAACGGGAATGTGGCAGAGGTTCTTCCTCTATCAAGTGGTTAACACTGGACATTTTCACACACCACTGGCCAATTTCCTTTTATAAAATGTACTGGACTTTTATGTGATGACAGCCTAGTTTTATTTCTCTGCACATTCTTTAGAAGAAAAACAAAACAAACACAAGTAATCAGAAGTTGTGATCTTTGTCCAAGGTTGATCTTTTAAGGCATGAAACCACACCCGTGGTAAGATTTAGTTCTTACTAAGACATATATTCACATTCTTCCCAAATCGAATTGTAGACACAATTAACGAAGTAAAATAATCCTATACTGGGAAGAGCCCAATTTTACTGACACCTGGACTACACTTAAAAGTTAGGCTGACATGGTTACAGTGGCCCCGGGTGTGAAAAATTCACACCAATGATCACCACAGTTAAGTCGACCTAACCCCTGGTGTAGATGTGGTGAGGCAATGAAAGAATTCTTATGTTAACATAGCTACCACAACTCAAAGATGTGGATTATCTACACTGATGGAAAAAAAACCCCTTCTGTAGTTGTAGAAAGCGTCTACACTAGGACACTACAGCAGCACTGTAGCTATGCCGCTTTAGTGCCCATAGCGTAGACATGACCTAGGACTGGTCAAAATGTAGCAAGGAGGACAAAGCCATAACAGCCGTGTGGGAGGTGGGAAAGAAGATCTTTGGGCATTTTGCAAGCACAGATGAAGTTCAGAAGTAATGTCAGTGATTATGGTACTTTATGTAAAGCCAGACAACACAATAAATATTTTTGATGGTACATTTTAGAATAGGCAAAAATGAGATCACCATTTTCAAACAGTATTTGGGACAACTCTTCCTGCAAATAAGATTTTATTTTCTCAAAAGATTAAAACAGACCTAAACAAAACAGACAATGTAGCCACAAACCATTTCAGCAAAATCTCTTAAAAAAAAATCAGGAAAACAGTGTGCACATGGTATTTTCTCAGCATACTGCTTTGGGTACTTAAGATGTTCATTGCTGTACAACAGCAGGAGAGTTTAAGACTCTCATATTCAGAGTTTCATATTCATATTCAATATATGTTTCACTCTATATGCATCCGAAGAAGTGGGTTGTAGCCCACGAAAGCTTATGCTCTAATAAATTTGTTAGTCTCTAAGGTGCCACAAGTACTCCTGTTCTTTTTGAGGATACAGACTAACACGGCTGCTACCCTGAAACCTGTCATATTCAGAGGATTTTCACAGCCCTAGGATTCTAGGTCTGGCTAAGAGAACTTCAAAGCAGAGCTAACTTTGGTGACTATTTCCTGACAGATTCTTTTCCAAGAAAAGAACCATTCAGAAAAATAACGCTGTATCTGATTAACCATATGATAGACAGATGGTTTTTGGCTTTGAATAACTCCTGCTTTTCAAGTGCTTTCAGTCTGCTTTTACCACCTTTATAGGAATTCCTCCCCCCCGCCAGTCATTAGGTATTGGGGGGAAATAGCTTAACACAATTTTTCTTATCACACTTTTATTTGTT